TTTACTTTTGGCGATCTTCGTCTTCCAAATGAAGCTCATCCGAAGAGAAGTGAGTAAAATGGGTGCACGCCCTTCTGATCTCAAATAAAGCTGTCAAATCAAAATCATTGTGATAAATCGGGCCAAGGGACTCGTGTATGATTGGCTAGCATAATACGGAGGCGCAAGTAACTTCCTTTTTGCCAAGCGCGAAACAGAAAAGGTGCGGGAATGATAAAAGGGGGAACCGACCAAGTAATGCGCATAGTTCTCATAGAATTACCTATTTTTAATTAACATAATTTCCCGATGCAATTACTTTCATTTTACTCTAAACGTTTCAGTCAAACGGGCCGAACCAGAATTAGAAAATACGAGAGCGGAAAAACCGAAAAGAAGGATTAAATTTAAACAGCAGTCAAAGCAACTGAAGGAATTGATAGAGAAATCTAAAAGAGGGGTACCAAAGTTAATGAAGTCAAGTCGAGAGGGAGAAAAGGAAGAGAAAACCGCTAAGATGTATAAGAAGGACTCGTCTTGTTATCTCCAAGTTTTTCCGGGCACTGAGAAGACTGCCAAAGCAGATTCGTACGTGATTTGAGATTAATTATTACAAAGTGTTTATTGAGCGAGAAACATGCTCGAGGTGCAGCTGCACGCAAAACACTAACTATGTAGAAATTGTGCAGACATTACATCATTTGTTTCACCTAGCTGCCATTGTTGATTCACGCGTCCTGCTTCCTAGCAGACGCGTTGCGGCTTCTGCACTTGACGTGATATGTGCAATTACACTATATGCATGCCACTCTTAAACTACCTTGCAAAATGTCTAACGTTCAGGACTTCCTATCCTGTACTTGAAACAGCATGTGAGGAATGTGCATTCATGACAGAAGCGGCAAAGAAGCCTCCACCAAAAATTGACGACTATTTCGAGTTGGCGAATCCATTCGAAAATGAATGCGATATGCTCGATGTAAGGGACTTTTCTCAGCTTTATCTCTAAAACATCAATAATATCGCTCAAAGATCTCGGA